GCTCCTCCTCCTCCTCCTCCTCCTCCTTACAGTCTTACGTTTGCTCTGTACAGACTGGCCCCACAGGTCCACTGACAGCTTCCACCGCCGCCACAAAGAAGAAGGTCCCGACATTCTGTTCTGCCCTCTTCTTCTCGCTACTCCCTCCCTCCCCTTCCTCTGTCTCCACCTCCTTCTTGGGTTTTCTGGCTTCCTTGTTTGTTCTCTGTCCTGTCCTGTCCTGTCCTGTCCTGTCCTCCCCCTCCAATCTCCTCCAGTCCTTCCCACTCCTCCTCTCCCCCTCTCCCCCTCTCCTCCTTCTCACATTCTCTCGCCAGCAAGTCGAGGAGAATTTCTACGAGTCGGCGAGGACCGTCGTGCCGACTATCGGAAGGTGCAAACATGTTCATCCTCCCCTTCCTCTCCCATGACGATATACAAAGGGATAATCGAGCTGTTGCTGCTGATGACGAGGATGAGGAGGGAAGGGAGGGCGCGGGAGCAGCTGGCGAGGATGGTGACAGGAATGGAGGAGAGGAGGGTCAGAGGGCTGAAGTTGCATGTAGGAGATGCTGAGGGCAAGTTGTACAAAGGTATTCTCCTCGTCCTGCCCTTCCTCCTCTGTCCCTCCTCTCCCTCTCCTACCTCTCCTACCTCTTTCTCCTCCCTCTTTTCTCTTTCTCGCTTTCTCTCCCTCTCTCTGTTTCCCCGTCCTCCTTACTCTTTCTCAGGAGCGTCAAACTATCAAAAGTTCATCGTCAAACGAGATGTACTCGACAGGTCCCTCCTCCTCCTCCTCCTCCTCCTCCTCCTCCTCCTGCATCTTTCATCCTCCTCTTACAACTCTCCCCAGGAAGGCAACTGCTGTCGGCCCCATGAAGGCTCCTTCGAACGTCCGTCTCACCTGCCGGTGGAGGAGGAGGAGCAGGAGGAAGATGGGGAAGTTGATAATTGTTTTTTTCAGTTTCGACTATCAGCCAGATCTCTGTAAGGATTACAAGGAGACCGGGTGAGAACCTGCCTTCTCCCTCCTCCCTATCTTTCCCTCCCCTCCTCCTCCCTCTCTTCCTCCTACTATTCTTTCCCCTCCCTCTCTTCCTCCTACTATTCTTTCCCCTCCCTCTCTTTCTTCCCTCCCCTTTCCCTCCTCTTTCCCTCTTCCCTCTCTTCCCCCTCCCTCTCTTACTCCTGCATCCTTGGCGCCCTTGGCTCTCCCTTCTCCTCTGATTTGCAACAGGTACTGTACGTTCGGCGACTCTTGCAAGTTCATGCACGATCGAGGAGATTACAAGAGCGGATGGGAGCTGGAGAGTGAGCGAGCGGAGGAGCATGCGAAGGGAGGAGGAGATGACTGGGTTGTGCTCTGCAGGAGACTGGAAGGCGGAGCAGGAGAAGAAGAAGTTGGACGCGGCGCTGGCTGAACTTGAGGGCGACAAACCGAAGGAAGAGGAGGAGGTGAGAATTTTATCATTGTCTTGGAGAGAGGATCGTGGGGGGAGAGGGAAGGATGAGCGAGGGGGCGGAAAATTGAAAAGGAGGAGAGGGGAAGTGGGAAGAAAAAGAGGGAGAAACGGAAAGAGGAGGTAGGAGGAAGGGGGAAGAGGAGAGAGCTGATAAGTTTCTTGGCAGGAGAACGATGGTCTTCCGTTTGCTTGCGCTATTTGCCGCGGTCCCTTCAACAACCCGATCGAGACGAGGTAGAGGAGGAGGTGAAGTAGTTGACAGAACAATGACGAACGCACAGATGCATGCACTACTTCTGTAGGACTTGACCTCCTCCTCCTCCTTCCTTCTCTTCACTCCTCCTCCTCCTCCCTCTCCTCCTCCTCCCTCTCCTCCTCCTCCCTCTCCTCCTCCTCCCTCTCCTCCTTCCCCCTCTCCTCCTTTCTTTTGTCTGGTCATTCCCTCAGCTCATCTTCTCTCAAGGTGAGAGCTGTGCCCTTGCAAACTACAAGAAGAGCAAGCGATGCTTCGTCTGCAATGAGCAGGTGAATTCCTCCCCCTCCCCTCCCATCCCCACCACCTCCTCTTCCTCTCCCACACCTTGTACTTCTTTCCTTCTACTTCTGCATCTCCTGCTTCCCTTGCCCTCACGACCTTCTAGACACAAGGACAGTTCAACACAGCGACCAAGATCATTTCCAAGTTGAATCGATTGGAGGAGAAAAGACAGAAGAGGCTCGCAAAGGGTATCCCTTCTCCTTCAGCGTCCTGCTCCTGCTCCTCCTTTACACCTCTTCTGCTCCTCGATCACAACTCTGCCATGTTCCATAACCCCCCTTCCCCTTCCTTCACCCCTCCCTCGCCTCCACCTCCTCTTCTACCTCAGCTGCTTCTCTCACTTCTCTTCTCCTTCTTTCGCCTTCCTGCCCTTCCCCCTCACCCACAACATTCCCTTCCTTGCCTTTCTCAGTCTTTCCCTTCCCCTCCTTCTCATTCCCCCACCCTCCTCCTCCTCCTCCCTCTCATCCTCCTTCCTCGCCTCTCCAACCTCTCCATCTCCTCCTCCCTCTCCTCTTCCTCCTCGCTCTGACCGACGGGTGCAGACGAGTACGAGAAGGAGATGATCAACCAGCAGCTCCAGCAGGCGAAGTTCAAAGTCGAACAAGGATGGACCATTCCTGGCGATACCTTCCAGGTCCATTGCTCCCCACTCCACTCCTCTTCCTTTCCCCATGAGCGAGAAACGATTATTTCTCGTTTTTGTTCATCTCGCTCGCTCTCGCTTATTTCTCCTTTTCCTCCCTCCTCCCCTCTTCTTCATTTCTCCTCTCCCGCCCTCCTCTCCTCCATGACATGTGAACGCAGACTGGCAAGGAGATTTGAAATGTTCTCCTCCTGCTCTACTACCACATCCTCCCCTCTCCTAGTCGTTGCAATAGAAGAAAGAAGGATATCGGACTTTACGACTCTCCAGCTCGCCGCCCCCTCCTCCTTCTCTCAACCTCCTCCTCCCTTCTTCCTCTTCGGTCGCTTCTCTTCTGCATCCTCCTCTCGTACAGCACATCCTCGATCGTGTTGAGCATGTCGATACCTGCGGTCTCAGCCGTCACACGCCATCTCCTCTCAACTCGCCATCATCTTCCTGCTCCACTTCCTCTCCCTGCTCCTGCTCCTGCCCGCCTCTCCCCTTCTCCTCCTCCTCTCCCCCGTCCTCTACCATCACATGCTTCTCCTTCATCCGCCTCCTCACTCACTCGCTTCATTCTGCTTCGCATCATCCGCATGCCCGAGACGATCTGAAAAGAAATCAGTCGCAGGGAGCGGAAGAAGACGCAGGTGAAGGTCTAGAAGAAGGGTGGGATGGAGGCAGCAGGAGAAAGCAAGGAAAGAGGGGGAAGAACAAGGCCTAAGACAGCGCAGGAATGGCGATGGTGGAAGTCAGGTGGCAATTTTGCATAGAACTCTGGAGGGGGAGAACAAGGAGTAGATCAAGGAGACTGTGGAGAAGGAGGAGGAGGATGAGGAAGAGGAGGAGGAGGAGGAGGAGGAGGAGGAGGAGGTGGTGGTGGTGGTGGTGGTGGTGGAGGAGGAGAAGGACCTGTCAGGATTTTCTCGAGTCTTTCGAGTCGATGCCTGTTAGATGCTCGCGGGTCCCTTTGATAATCTCTCACTGCTCGTTCCATGTCCATGAGCTGCAAATCCGATGTCAGAATCCATCCATCCTCCTCCTCCCTCTCCTCCCTCCTCCTCCTTCTCTGCACACCTGCAGGCCATGGCGCAGCTCTGACGCCTGTCTGCTGGACATGTCGGCTACTCTTCCCCAGCTCTTCTCCCCACTCAGCTCCTCTTCCTCCTTGCCAAACGCGCTTGCTTCTTCCGTCTCTGCCGTAGCTGCGCTCTCCCATCTCGAGGCCACGTTGCTGTGCTTTATCGCGTCCTCCTTCACTCTCCTGGCCTGTTCGAGCACATTCTGCACTTGCCTTGACTGAGCTGAGACTATCCTCCGCTCCTCCTCCTCTGCCTTCCTTCCCACCTGAACCGCACGCTGTTGCGACGCCTCAAGGCCAGAAAGCTTGTGAATCTCTTTGCTCTGAACTTTCGACAACACGGAACTTTTCTTCTCTTCCTCCTCATACGTCTTGATCTTCATCTTCGCGAGCTTCAGCCTCTCCTTCACTCGCTCCTCCGCCTGCTCTGCCAGCTTCAGGTTCAGCTCTGCAGCCTTCTCTTCCTCAGGCCCCACGTCGATGTCTTTCCTCAGCTGCTGCAGCCGCGTCTTCGCAGCATGCAGCTTGCTCTGGTACTCCAGCTTCCGGTACTTGTCCACCTCCCCGAGCTTGTGTTGCAGAGCCGCTGCATGCAGCATGACCTGTCGTTGCTTCTTCTCGAACAGAACCTCCTCCTCCAGCACTTTGATCTGCCGCTTCATCGTCTTCATCTCGTCCAACAAGTCCACCTCCTTTTCTCGATTGCACTTCGATCCCTTCGCTCCTCCGCTTCCGTCCGAAGGCTTCTTGCATCCCATCTCGACAAGCTGTTTCTGGATCTTGTCGACCTGCCCCTGCAGCTTGAGGGCCTCTTCCTGCTTGTCCTTTGCTCTCTTGTCCGCCTTCGTCGCTCCTCGCTTCGCCTTCTCCTCCTCCTTCACCTCCTCCTCCTGCTTGCTCGAGAATCGATTCACAAGTTTGCTGAGATCAGCGAGAGCTCCTGTCTTCTTCGAAGCCCCCTCGTCCTCCTTGAGGTTTCTCTTCAGCTTTTCCACGTGCTGTTCCAGCTTCTTCACCGACCCCTTCATCACGCTCAGGGACGCTGACAATTCATTCGCCCCGTCCTGCTCGCTCCTCGCTTTCTTCTTCGCCCTCCTCTCCTCCGCCATGAGCGACTCCAGCCTGTCTTCATGCAGATTCACCACCTGGGATGTCGCCAGCAGCGATCTCTCCAGCCGATTGGCAACATTCTCGATCCTTCTCGCCTTCTCATCGTCCTCCTCCAGCGTCTCTGCCCGGTCACGAGCGATCTTGACCAACTTCGCATGCAGCCTGTCGTCGTTGCCCTCAAGCAGCTTCTCCTCGTCAGCTTTCTTAGCGAAGTCTCTTGCTCGATGCAGCGCCTGGTTCATCATCAGCCTCGCATGATTGTATGTCTTCTCGTCGCTGTTCTGGTAGAGCTTCTGCAGCAGAGAGACGCTGCTCCGATGAGCGCGCCTGTGCGAGGATGTACGAAGAACACTGAAGTGGAACAGAGCGAAAGAGAGGAAGATAACGAAGCAAACGAGGAAGGGAACGAAAGAGAGGCGAGGGCTCCGGGAGGTCATGGTAGTCAACTAGTAGTGCAGCAAACTGAGAGATCAGCTCAAGTTGAAGGTGATTCTCTTTGCCATGGCCCTGGAAGAAACCGTCAATGACGCGAAGAATTCTACAACTCAGATCCAACAGTCCACTGATGACCTTTGATGTATCCCTTTCGCTAGTTCTTTCAATTCCTTCTCCATTCTACCCTAGGCATTCGTCGCGAAGTGATTTTTGTACATGACTTCTGCCCTATCCTTCCCTACGCTCTAAGCTCTCCCTTTCCCTCTCCTCCTCTCCTGATCGCTTCGCTTTTCCTCTCTCCTTCTCTCTCCTCTCCTCCTCTCCCTCCCTCCCTCCCTCCTCTGTCTGTCTGTCTGTCTGTCTGTCTGTCTGTCTGTCTGTCTGTCTGTCTGTCTGTCTGTCTGTCTGTCTGTCTGCCTCTCTCTCATCGCTCCCTCGCTCCAAGCGCCTCCCTGTGCTGTACCAGCTCATTATGACTCACCCCAGCTCGCTGCCCCTCATCCCCTTCATCTTCACCCGGGCCGGGCCCTGGGCCGGCCCGGGCCCGGCAACCGGAACCGTGCCCGGCGGCGGTGCCGCTCAGCTGCAACCGCCGGCCACGGCCGCGAGTCACCACGACCGCGAGTCACCGTTCAACTAACGGCCGGGCGGCCTCAGGCTCAGGCATGCCAGTTCGGAAAGTTGACCTTCAATTGCCCCAGCGGCCCAGCCTCGGAGTCACTGAGGTGGCTTGACAGACTGAGAGAAAAGCCTGACAGCGAGAACCAACCCTCATGAGGAGTCCTGCCGACTGCTGTCCCGCCGGGAGTCCCCCGCATTCAACTAGTAACCGAGTCAGCCAATACCGGCCGGGCGTAGGGCAGTCGGATCGGACGTACCCTAGTACCTTCGCGCAAGACCGTCGTGGCATTCCCCCGCGCTAGTGATCGGACGGCCCGGTCAGACCGTACTCCGGCCGGGCGCCGCCCGGTCCGATCGCCGCCCGGACTCACTGGCCCGGTGCCATGCGGGCAGTGCGGCCCGTGACGGTGATCAGTGAGGCCGCCCGGGCCCCGGGCCGCGTGTGACAAGTCGTTACAAATCGCGTAACCGCCACCCACAGTAAAATCGCATCTGTGATTGGCGGGGCGTAGGGGGTGGTACATACCAGGGGGTGGTTTCATGGGGTAGGTAGTGCAACGGCTACTCAGTTGTCTGTACCCTCCCCCCCCCGCCCCTTTTGGAGTGACCCCTACTATGACATGAAAGTACCCGGTATTTGGGAATAGTTCTACCCACCCCCTGTGGTCCGAAAGACAACAACCGTGACCGCTGCTACTACCCCACGAAGACAAGTACCCCCGTCACATCTATTCGTTCTTTTTACTACCATCCATAGGCAGGGGTGCTGGCTGCCATCCCCATCTCACCACCCCTACAAACCGGAGCACATTCCCAAAGTACCCCATAAATTACATACTTTTACACCGGTACCTTTGGACCCTACCCGTATAATTGCGTGTATCTGCAATCCCTGAAGTACTAGTCACTTGCCATGCACGGTTGAATTCCCCGGAACCTCCTCGTCCACTCCCGCTTGTCGTTCTCCTCCTCCTCCCTCTCCCCATCCCTCTCCCTCTCCGTCTCCCTCTCCGTCTCCTCCTCCTCCTCCTCCTCCTCCTCCTCCTCCCTCTCCCTTTCCTACCCCTTATCCTTATCCCTCTCCCTCTCCCTCTCCCTCTCCCTCTCCCTCTCCCTCTCCCTCTCCCTCTCTCGCTCTCTCTCCTCTAATCTCATCCACCTTTACTCCACCTTCCGACCATCTTCATCGCCCCTCGGATGCTGAGTTTCTTTCACTGACAAACTTTCTGTCCAATTGCAGAGCCCTTGGCAGAGTATCACTTTGAAAATCTTTCCATCTCGTCATCTCGATAGCGATCTAGTTTGAATATGCAAGAGAGGTTGTGGAGATAGGAAGGATCCCCGTATCAGTTTGGATATCTCTCTTGGCATTTGACTCAAAGCATCACGAAGTTGCCTTCCTCTCATCCCGACGGCCTTATAGTATCTCGATCATAATCGTCCATCATTTTCCTTTGATCTTCAACCTCGACTGATTTTCAAACAAAGCTGCAATCTCGCTCCTCTGTCCTCGGCTCTTGTTTGCTAGCGCCAGCTTCTTGGTTTCCTTGACGCTCATGGCTCAACTCGGTAAGAAACCACAGGACGAAGCAAGCCATCGGCGTTCTCAAAGGTGGGTTCGACGGTTGTTGTTCCTGAGCTGATGATAGTTCTCCTCCACAGCGTAACGAGCTGCGTTGAAAGTGTTAAGGGCAGGAGCAAACGCACGGACGAAGCAAATGGCAAGAGCACTCAGCGCTTCGACTATCAACTCCTGCTGGTAAGCAAAGTGGAGAAAACCCGTGAGGAAGAATCGCTTGTTTGTTGTCATCAGAGCACGAAAGAAGATATGAAGTTGTTGTTGTTTCTGTAGAAAGTTTGGCCATCCCTCCATGTCACCTTCTCGTGCTCCCATCGCAGGTTGCAGCCAAGGAGGTCGACCCGCACTTGGCGTTCAACAAATACATCCTCCATGGCTACAGGCACAAGTTGACTCCGATGCAGTGCATCCTGTCCGTCTTTCAGATCCACAACGAGACAGGTAAATCGGCACTCGTCCATATCAAAGGGCTGACACTCTCCAGGGAACATCTGGACCCACATGCTGCCAATCGCTTTCTTTGTCAGCCACCTCGTTCTCCACGGTCCTTGGCAGCATGCCCCTCTCTTTTACCTGGCGGCGACCGTCCCTTGCGTCCTCTGCCTCACCTGCAGCTCCATCTATCACACCTTCATGCCTCTCTCGTCGGGTGAAAAGACGTATTCCACCTTGCTGTTCATCGACTACCTCAGGTGCCCCTCTCCTCGGCTGGCTCTCCACATGCTGACGGCCAGGGTCTCAGTGTTTTCAACGTGATGGTATGGCCTGAAGTTGTCTCGATCTACTGGAGCTTCTACTGCGATCCCAGCGTGAAGGTCCCTGCCGACCAACAGTGTTCTCCATGTTCTGACGCAACTTCAGCTCTTCATGTTCGTGGTTTACTTCTCCATCACCGTCCTCTGCCTCGGGCTTGCGCTGAGGTCACTCAGGAGCTGCCGATGGGGGCAGACGGTAGTGACACGTCATGCAGAGCGAGAACGGTCAAGGAAAGGCTCCTCCCCTTCGGCATTCAGTCCCTCGCTCGAGGGATCAGTTTGATTTTCCGAATGACCTTGGGCTATGCAAGGTGCGGTCATCTCCTGCTCCTGCTCCTGCTCCTGCTCCTGCCCCACTTCAATTATGCTCCTGCTTCTCATTTCCCCCTCACCTCGGACTGGTGTTCCCCTTTCTGTCCTTAACCTCGTGTTTCTCATTCCTCCTCCTGTTCTACTCTCTTCTTTGGTCCTGATGGAGCAATGAGCAGCAAGGAAGCGACTTTGCTCTACCTCGCGACAGAATTTCTCGGAATCGCCGGAGGAATGATCAATGCCATGCGTGCTCCGGAATCGATCTTCCCAGGTTGGCGCGGAACAAGAGGAAGAGAGATCTGACTCGAGATGTTCCAGGCATGTTCGACACTTGGCTGAACTCGCACCAGGTAGTTGATGCATCGTTGGGCAGGGAGCCTAGTGACGAACATCTACAGATCATGCACATCTTGACTGCGATGGCTCAATTTTGTGTCTTCTACGCGTGCCAAACCGATTATGAGTACTGGCAGCGAACGAGCTGCCTGGATGTGAAGAGGTGGAAGGTGCTAGAATTCTTGTAATCAGACTTAACCCCATGGCCGTGAGGATGTTTGGATCTAGTTAGTAATGTCTCATTAAGGTTCTTAACGCTCTATAGAGAGTGACTCGTTGTGTCCTCTTGTAATAAACTGAAAAAGATGTAAAGAAACGTTTTTCCCACCTCCTCGCTGACAGTAGCACATTCCTTCCCTTCTCCATCTGTCTCCTCTCCTTGCTTCCCTCTCCATCCAGCCCCCCCCCCCCTCACGATCCCTTCTTACCTCCATCGCTTCCTCCTCCATCTATTGTTCTGTCAAAGAATTTATTATTGCCAACCTTCATCCTTGCCCTGTTCTGACCCCCCCCCCCTCCCCCATGCTACCCAAGCCCCTCGCACTGTATCTTGGTCTCGCTTCCTTCCCCTCTCTCGCTCTCCTTCCACATTCTCTCTGCATCCCTCCATCGCCTCTTCCTCCCCGATTCCACTCCCGCTACCCTCTTCCCTCCCAACAATACATTCGGTCCTTTTCCATCCCAACTGCCTCCCCAGCCCCGCCCTCGCCCTCCCCTCCCCTCCCGACCGCGCGGCTTGTAGCCTCTGTTGCATGTCTCACGATCCATGAACATGCGAACTCATAGCAGCAACACGTGCAGCAGCACCTGAGCTGTGACTTGTGACTGGTAGTAACTTGAGCTTGCAGGAGGAGCGTCAGTTTACGTTGTCAAGAGCGATCTTGATAGAAGGAGAGGATGAAGTGAAGAAAGAGCGATGAACTTGTCTACAGGTACAATACAACCCCAAGGTCAACCTTCCCTCACTTCTGACGCCTCCACCTCTCCAGCAGGAGCATGCCTTAGGTTCCTCCTCCTCCTCCTCCTCCTCTCCCCCGCCTTGAGTGTATACGTCGGCCCGGCCCTCAAGTCGCAATGGCAGGATCCATACAGAGGAAGAGACCACGTGTTTCACATGCAGCTGGAAGTCAGCGGGATCGAGTTAGACCACCTCCTCCTCTCCTCCAACTACACTCAGATGGACCTCTACGTCCTCTTCTACGTCCCTTCCAACCCGCTCGCTAAGGTTCCGCCTCCCCTGCCACCATCTCTCACCTCTCTCATACGCCTCCTCAGACCCTCCTCCCCGTCTGGAAGCAAGTCTGGGAGCGCTTCGCTCCCATCCCGCGCGTCGACGTGGCTGTTGCCTTGCTGCCCTCCACCAGCTCTGAAAGCTGCTGCAGGTCCTCCAGGTCGATTGCAGCGGAGTGGGAGGAATATCGTGCAAGGACCGCAACGTGGTCGACATCCCTTCGATCCAGAGGTTCCCTGCAGGCTCGCCCCACGGGTTCTTCTACAGGGGCAGGTAAAGAGGGCAAACAGGGTCCCTCCTCCTTCATGCCCGGGCTGACCGGGGGACGTCAGTGTTGATCTCTTTGCGCTGGAGGAATGGATTATAGATGCCTCCAACCTTGAAAAAGTCACTCCCTGCTCCCTCCTCTCTCCTCCTCTCCACTCTCTCCTCCTCTCTCCACCTCTCTCCTCCTCTCTTTTCTCTTAGCCCTCTCCTCTCTCTCCTCTCCTCTCCTCTCCTCTCCTCTCCTCTCCTCTCCTCTCCTCTCCTCTGAGAACAGCCGGCAGGAGATGAAGCCTCGAGACGTCCAGCCAGTGTCTGGTTGCGTTGCCTTCCGACAGACGTCAGGGTGTGACCCGGAGGGAGGGCGCGAGCCTCACAAAGACAAGCCGTGCGACCACGAGGTGACGACGATGGCGGGGGCCATGCACGAGTCTCATCCTCCTCCTCCCCGGCAGATCCCCAGCGGCATGTCAGGATACTGCGAGTGCGGGGAAGGCGACCATAGGATGAAAGTCCGCTGCCGGCACCAGCCCTTCCGCTGCGATGAAGTATGTGTCAAGGTGCCGGGCTGCGTGGCATGGCGGCAGGTGGAGGAGGAAGAGGAAAAGGGAGGAGTGTGTTGACGGCAAGATCAGACTGGAAGTTGTGTACCCGATGGCCCCAGAGAGCCGCAGAATGACAAGCATTGCCGTCGCGCCCTCATGGCCGGGGTGTCTGGATACTGCGAATGCGAAGGAGGGAGGAAGGTTGCGTTGGTGAGAGAATAATACTGATCATGGGGATGATGATGTTGGGGATGAAGATGATGATAATAATTATGGAGACTAATTATGGATAATGCTTTGTGATGGTGCGGTGCGTTTCCAATAAGTTCGTTTATTCTTCAGATGGCATGCTCTACAAGGACCATAGGAACATTCACTTGCGAAGAGAAGTGTAATGAACCGATTCAATGAATGAGTCGAAGAGAATTTATGAGGAGGCAGCGGGAGCTCCTCCGCTCGTGGCGGCTTGAGCGGCCTTCTCAGCCTCGATGCTCGACACAAAAGCATCCACCTCTTCATCGCTCCAGATCTTGAGAGGCTCGTTCATCCTCATGGTCGCGATCTCAATATTCCTTCCCCCGCTCTCAACCACCTCCAACAGCGCCTTCACCGCCAGCTTCTTGCACTCCTCGTCCGATGCGGCGAGCTCATCCGTATAATTCTTTTCCAGGTATTCGCGCACAGTTTTAGAATTCTTGCCAATGGCATTCGCTTTCCAAGCGTAGAAGGTCCCAGACGGTTCAGTTTGGTAGAGTGAGAGGCCATTTCGATCGTATCCACAAATAAGAGTTGAGATCCCAAAAGGACGCATACCTCCGCTCTGCGTGTACTTCTGCTGAATTCCCGCTAGATAACGAGTGATGTACGCCACTGAGACCGGATCTTCCATGGTGAGCTTGAAGCTCTGGCACTCCACCCTTGTGCGGTTCACCAGAACTCTTGCATCGGCAGTGAGTCCCGCGAAAGCCAAGCAGACATGGTCGTCCAATACATGGATCTTTCTTACAGTACGAGGTTCCTGCAGGTTTTGCCGAATCATGACAATTCATAGCAGATAAACCCAACCCACCTGAAGCTTCGCGGTGGATTTCTTCTCCACCCCAACTACAATAATGTTATCCCCTGTGAAACATTGTCAGACAACTGCGCATCACCCATCAAGATAACAGACAATCATCGACTCACCCTTGACTGCCACGGCAGTCGTGCCTCGTCGCACAGCCTCGAGCGCATATTCAACCTGAACGATTCAGTCACGTCGGTTCAGCAGCATCTTGTTAAAAGAAATGATGATTTTCTTGATGATGATATTGAACTCTTATAACGAGACCCGAACAAGAAAATTAAGTTGCACGCCATGAGCACTTGTGAAAAACACTGAACTATCCTCAGAAAACACTGGAATACCACCCGCACTGAGCTAAAATTCCATGTGTAATGAGGTGAAGTTTGAGAATCAGGATAGCAAGCAGTGAAGTTTGAGAATCAGGATGGCAAGCAATGATTATTGCTGATCACGCGAAACCAAATCAATCGGGGATTCTTCTTGTGTACGATTCAGCCAAGAAGATTTTATGGAGACACAGCGAACAAGAAAGAACAGGCATTGTCCTCCTCATGTAGAATGGATACGGCCAACCACAACCATAAAATCCAACCTCCAACTTATGGCATACTTGATCCTTTCATCAATTTTGATCATACAAGCAACCTCAACGGTAACCTTCCATGCATCACTATTCCTCTCTTCCAGCTATCGCTTCCTTTTTCTTCCCTCTCCTCTCCCTATGTTACTTCATCATCTCTCAACTCTGTCACTTCACAGTCTCTCTGAATCTCTGTCAGTGCACTGCACGCTGATCGAATGTACCTGGAACAAGTGTCCATCGGGTGAGAACACCGTAATCGCGCGATCATAGCGGCTCGACATGGCGGGAGGACACCGTGTCCTCTCACGAGGCCCTCATCCCCACGTCAACCCCTGCGTTGACTGAGACACCGAGCCTGCAGCCGAGCCTGCCTGGAGCCTGCCTCCTCAGCACGGTCACTGAGTGCGGGCCGGCCGCGCCCGGGGGGCCGGGCCGGTGGACGGTGAGTCCGTCAGACCGGGTCACATCCCCCGGCCGCGCCCGGGCGGCGGCCCGGCGCTGCCCATGACGGACCACCCACCCCATTCAACCCCCAAACATTATTGGGGTTGAATGGGGTGCCGCCGGCTCAGTGGTCAGTCCGATCGTTGCCACGGTCCGATCTGACGGACCGTCCGACGGTCACCCGGTACAGTACGGTACCGGCGTCTCAGTAGTCCTGGGCCGGGGGGTGCAGTAGCGGCAGGCCCTCCTGCTTCTAGGAGGGAGGGGTGGGGGCCGGGGGTAGAGCTTGGGAGTACCTACCGGTAGATGTCTTTCAATAGTGACTCTTCGGACGCGCCTCCTCATCCACCATGCAGGCGAGGCAGCCGCTGCTTCCTTCGCGCAATGCCGCCCGCCGCCCTGGTGTCATGGCATTTGTTCCGGCTGCTCTTGCAGCGTGTGCTGCGCTCCTGCTCCTTGCGGTGTCTTTGACAGCCTTCAACGCAGAAAGTCAGCCCGACGAGAGGCTGCAGGAAAATCCCCCCACGTTGTACTATGTTCCTGTCAAGACCTCCAGGCCATGGAAGAAGCAGCAACAGCTCGTGTACTACTACCTACCTCAGTCTTCGCATGGGCTCAGCATGCTCAATGGCAGCGCAGCAGGCGGAAACTCCTCTGCCGGAGGTCAGAACTCAAGCAGCGCCAGCGGCGGCTCAAATGATTTCGTCTGCTCCGTCGCGAACATTAAGGCCCTGCACGCGGCAGTGCAGCCCAAGTGGGACGCCTGCAAGTCTAATCCCAACTACGAGGAGCCAAACAAGGGCGCGAAGAGAAGGTGGGCGATGCCTGGCAGGGTTGGCAGGTGACCTGCGTGCAGGTTGTTGGAGTGGGTCTGGGAACCAAAGGCAGGCGAGAGAATGACAGCCAAACCGAGGTACTCTCCAGATCACTACAGACTTGCAATCAAGGCCGATAGGAGCAGGTATCGAGCCGATTGTGCGTTGAAGGAGCAAGACTGATGTTTTTCTGTAGGCGACATGCCGCAAAGCAATCCGATACCTCATCAGAACTTGGCAGGTACTCATGGTGAACACTTGTTTTAAGGTTGTTGAAATGCTATTACCAGCTACATTAGTTTGTTCTCAAGCTTGGCTGGCAACTCAAGCAACTCCTCTGCTTCGCAGGGCTCTGCTAACGCAGGCTCTGCAAGTATGTCATCTTGCGAGAAGAATGCACTCTCGGGAGCTTGCGAGAAGTTGGCCGCGTGCAAAGATCCTGTGTGCTTCAGCTATTACAACGAACCTGAGATCGAGCAGCTCTGTGGAATGTGCAGCATGGGAAGTCAAGCTTGGTTTGGTTGCTTCGCTGAAGACTCCAAGGTGACGTTGAAGTCCAGGAGGGTTGCAAACTGATTGTACGCCACCAGGTTTCTGTAGAGGGCAAGGGAAGTGTCGCGATCAATGAGATTCAGATCGGAGACATGGTTCTCTCTGCTGATGCCTCTGGAGCTCCCCAGCACTCTCGAGTCATCTTCAAGCATGACCACAAGGATGTCTCGTCTGTCATCAGCATCTCCTATGAAGACAGGACTCTTCGCCTCACGCCTACTCACTTGATCCCCAAGTATTCGGACAAGTGTGGAGACAGGTGGACGACTGGTTGAACTTGCAGATTTCTTCACTGACACTTGAGACAGTTTCTGCCATCTTGCCAAGAATGTTCCTGCCAGCTCAATCCAAGCTGGAGACAGGATCTACGTGCACTCTGGTGAAGGATTCCAGGCTAAGGCATGAATTACAGCATTGTTCTTCATTCCATGACGAACTTTTTTGCAGATTGTCTCTGCTGTCTCCAAGTCAGCTGCCAAAGTGAGGTACCTGCTCACGGAGAACGACAGGATCGTAGTGGATGGAATTTTGGCCAGCGTTTTTTCCACGGCTGCGGAGAAGTTTGAGACGCTGCCGTTCCATCTGCTCGACCGATTCCTCCCAGGAGTGCTTCAGAGCAAAGCTGTCGCAGCAACCTTGGAAACTATTCTTGAGTCGCCAATCCTTCAAGGCTTCGAAACTATTGTGAACTCTCTCTCTACTTTGGCTGTTCCTCGCAACGCCAACAGCAACGCTCTATTGGCCGCTACTCCTTTTAAGTCCTTGTAGATGTTCTTCTGCCTATTATTGCCATGACGACATGTATGGCAAACGCGGACAAGTTTCAATCGTGTGGCAATAAACTTGGATAGATGACGGAGTCTTCGAAGTTGATCAGACACGAAGTTTAATACAGATGTGCTGAGTCATCCTCGTTCCTACTCTGAGGGGCTAACAAAGCTGAGAGACTTGCCTGAAGGATTTACTGAGAGAGGTGGCTGACGTGAACGAGAGGGTTGCTCTTGGGGGCAGCCATAGAGGGCAAGTTAGCAACGGCGTTGAGGGCAAACTCGAAGTTTCTCAAAGCAGGAGATTCCAAGATGATCCTGAGGGAGGTAGCGACTGGGTCCCACTGCAGCACGCCCTTGACCATCTTGTCGACAAGGCGGAATGGAAGAGTCTCAAGGGTCTTGGCGGCCGTTGAGTAGACAGAAGCCACAACCCCGTTGACAACGATGCTGTCGTTCTCGGTGAGAACGTAGCGAACTAGTGAGATTCCTCTCGACACTGCCTGAACGGACTGATGACCAAAGTCAGGTTGCAAGACATGTGTCGATGTACATGTAGAACATACCACAACGTGGGATGCACGCTCCTTGGCAACGTAGATCTTGTCCCCAACCTTGACATTCTTTGCAGCAATGAGCTCGGCAGCATCACAGTACCTTGAGAGAGAGAGCAAGTCAGTGCACACAAGCCTCCAAGGCAACAACTGCTCACCTGTCACCGCAGGCCTCGGAGTGCATCGGAACCATGTGCTCGGTGGTGAGCTCCATGGTGTCATGACCGTGAGAGATGCGGACGGTTGCGGAAACTTCCTTGTGATCGTGGACAAAGATGACACGGGACGACACGATCTTGCCCTCAGATGAAACCGACTGGACAGCATCTCCCACAGCCACCTCCTTCAGCAGCCTCGCGCTGCCGTCGGCCATGGACACGACAGAATCCTGAGCAAAGCAACCCCAGCCTGCAGCAGCCATGCCGCACATACCGCAAAGAGCCTCGATCTCAGGCTCGTTGTAGTAGCTGCTGCACACAGGGTTGGCACAGGAAGAGATCTTGGCACAGGCCTCGCCGACAGCCTGGATCTCGCACTCAGAGAGAGATGGTCCGCTAGGTGCCGCGGTAGCATTTGCGCTGGTGGCATTGTCGGCCGCAAGAGAAGGGAAGGAGCGGTGCAAAGCAGCAGCTCTAGTCTGAGTCTTGGCCCTCATAGCAATGACCTTGTGGTACATCCTACTTGAGCATGAGCAGTTGTTGCAGGAGTCTTCTCTCCCATCACTCACCTTCGCGCTCCCTCCTCCAGGTGCATTCTGTAGTAGCTAGGGCGATGTTGAGGCTTGACAGTCTTCTGCTCTCCTTCCTTGGGCTCCCACACCCACTCCAACAATCTGCGACTCTAGTCAATATTCTTATCCATCGAATAGACCATAAAAACCTCAGGATATCGATCTACAACTGAGACCATCCTGATCACAGCACAAGTTGCAAGAAAGATTACATGGCAAGAAGTTCAAACATATAATTGAACTCAAAACAATCCCAGCAAAAACAAAAACAACACGAGCAAAGATTAAGCGAAGACCCTAAGTCGAGCACGGCTAACCAGATGAAATTACCTTCGCTTGGCATCCTTGTTCGGAACAACGTAGTTGGGGTTACTCTTGCACTTGTCCCACTTCGGCTGAGCCTCAGCATGCAGAGCCATGATGTTCTGCACTGTGCATACGAAGCTGGGTGCAGCAGCAGCAGTGCTGTTGCCACTAGTGGCATTGTCCCCTGCAAGCATCTGCTGCGGCATGTAGTAGTAGACAACAGGCTGCTGCTGAACGGCCTTGGCAACACGAGACTGAGCACCTCCTACAAACCTCGATCCTGCCGGGATAGCGTTGACGGGAACGTAGTAGAGGGTTGGCGCCTGTCCTCCCTGCGCCTGCATGGCCTGAGCCTGTGCTAACGAGATTCCCACACCTGAGGGTGGAGACCTGACTGCCGTGTACACCAGAAGGACTGCAAGGGAAGAAGCCAAGATGGCTGCTGCTGCTGGCAGGATTCTGTACGAAGTCTGTCGTGTCGATCCGCGCGCCATAAGCGGCAGCTGCTCCAGCGTCGCTGCCATGCCGTCGAAGAGCCGTTCGATCCCGGCGTCCCTTCGACTCACAGACCCCCACCCCTACTGGTATTGACCCACAGCAACTGTGTACCCCTCATCCCTAATATACACCCCTCCAATATCCTTAAATCAACTCTTCTTTCACCCCGTGCTTGATGAGCGACATAATATCCACCCCACCCTCTGGCTGCATCCAACCTCCAAGGGGAGGTGTCATGCATAAGGGTAGTAAGGGGGGGGTTGATTACGCATCCGAACAGGGGTGGCAGCCCCTCCAAGAGTGACGGCACTTCTTGTTTATCTAGAAAAGGTGGGTGGGGTCATGGAGCAATGAAAGCGATAGCGGAGAGAAGGGGGTAGTCTGAGAGAGAGATTGAGGGGTGGGTGGTGGTACGATCAAGGTCAATAATGACTGAGTAGTCACTGGAGTCTCCCCCGAGCCGCCGCAGTGAGCCGGGCCGGCGCCCGGCCCGGCCCGGCTGCCGCCCGTCTGGCAGAGTCTCAGTTATTCAAGTTAGACGGGCAGTAATCACGGAATCATGAACTTCGGACCGTACTACTGTGACGGTAGTTAAAGATCAGTACGAGGACAATCAGGTAGTAGTACACGGTTGATCAATAGTACCGTAGTACTGAGCACATCCGATGACTGTGCCAGTCCCCCGGGTCTATCGTACACAAAACGGTACGGTATCATGGGCCGATCATTAGGCTGCGACGGTATCAGAATTGGTTTACTTTGGACTCCATTATGCAAAAGATGACCGACCCCTTCCGCACTCCATCAAGAGAGAGAATGCTGAAGGCACCAAGGTGTCAGGCATTCGACACTTGAAGCATGAAAACGGGAAGGAAACTTACGCCATGGGAGGCAGAAATCTTTCCTGGCATGCTATTCTAAGTCTGCGTTCATCCAACGGGGCATGCACGTTACAGGTTTACAGAAGCGAGGCACGTTTCACCTCAATTTCTTCTTGAGTTGAGCGGATTGTCTGATCTGCTCAAGCAATCAGTCCTTGAGTACAAGCCAAAAAGCCTTGTCACAGGACTTGCTCCTTACCATGTTTATCGCCTCTTCTGCTGTTGTACCTTCTTCAATCTGGATCTCCATGTCGCTGACAATGATCATGGCGCCAAGAAGCAAGGGATCAATTTAAATCAGATTTCGAGTTCTCGCAATAGAACCTGCATTACCTGTATTTATTGTTATATTCAAAGTAAACCTGTCGTTGCAGACAATGATCCATATCAGCGACTCGCTGCAGTGCTCAAGCAAGAGCTTGCCTTATTGTCGTTCTCATATCGAGATGCGAAGATCACTCGTATCTTAGCGGGAAATGAAGGTTCATTGCTTTCCTGGACATCAAATCACACCAGACTTCCACAGATCGAATGTATGAGTCTGAGAGACTTTCATAACTGTGCTTTACCGCTTCTCGCATGCTCGCTTGAATTGCTTGTTCCAAGAATCTTTGTTCTGCTCTCTCCCACGAAGACATCGCTTTGTTCTATGCAGAAGTCAACGAAAAATTGCCTTTTGAATGTGCGTCGAACAGACCTCCATTTCGCTTTCTTGCACTCCAGACGATCTATGACACGTGAACAAGACAAGCACGTTAGGGTTAAAGTAGGCTGCTGCAGATTGCCAGACCTCGACGATGTTATCTTCTTGCTGCCCTTGACTCCTTTCTTGATACCTTTGCTCATCCCTTCCCTTGTACTATTGCTGCTTGCTGTGTTGTCCATATCACCTTTTATCTCTTTGTCCAGGAACGAGGCCGAAGAATCTGTTGCAGTGTCAATGTGCGAATTTTCACTAAATTCCGAGCTGACTGCACCCGCCCTCTGTCTGAACCGGCATTTCTGCCATGTCTCTGTCTACTTGGCTTACCTCTGCATGTCATTTGAATACTCTCGAAAACTACACTATCCTCATGAAAGGGGAGGGGATACATTTTGCCTGATTTGGTCAGAGAAACAAGAGGAAAAGGGGGAGTGAGGAGGAGGCGGCACAGCATGTCAGACAGCAAGAAAATGCCAACGGAACAATCAGGGTGTAGCGAAGGCCCTTTGTTCTCTCCCCATCAAACTTGCAACTTATCCTACCGGAATTCCCTACCAACCTTGCAATCGACCTGCTTTCCCGATAGTCCTGCCCTCTGCTCCTGATCCTCAAAATCCTCTTCATCTCGGTCCGCCTTGCTTATGTTCTTGCTTGCTGGAACATTCACTTGATCTCAGTTTCCTTGGCTTTCCCAAGTTTCTTCCTCCCCGGCCTCTACCGACCTCGTTTCTTCACCATGCTTCTCTCCGTCGAATGCTACAAATGCGCCTCAGAACCTGCTCAGACTCTGCCAGCACGGTTGGCTCGGCTCGGGCGGCGGGGCGCCCCGGTCCGACGGGGGCCCGGGCCCCCGGGGGTGCCAGAACGGGCCCGGTCGCCCTGCCGAACCGTTCGGAACGGTGACGTGACCGTACCGGCCCCGGGCAGCGGCGTCAGTGAACGTCGACCACCGTTACTCGGAGTCAGTCCGATCATCGGATCACTGCCGTGACTTGACAGTGAACTTAACGTCACTGACGTGACTCTGTACGGTCGCCGATCGGACCGTGGACGGTACCCGGCCGTCCGATCCCTAGTCCGGCGGCCCGCGGCGCCGGGCGGACAGGCCGGGAGTCTGTGCCAACTCCGCGCGGCCGCGTCGCCGCCCCGGCGGCGCCGGCGAAAACTCGGCGGCGGCGCGGCCCGGGCCCGATGACGATCGGCGGCCCGGCAGCCTGCTGCCCCCGACACCGCCGATGATGTAGTATTCGACCTTTTACTCCGAGTCCGACACTGTCAAAGTCCTACTACCCCCCCCCCCAGGGCCGGCGTGCCCGGCTGGAGTATCATGACTAGTCAAGTTACTCCCGGAGTCCGGCAGGGCCGGCGTGGGCCCTGGAGTACACTAGTCAAGTGAAGTCTCCTTTACTCAAAGTTAAGTGAAAAAGTTAAGAAGTCGTTTTAAATAGACCGTCTTACATGTGACCACGTATATCTTTTATAAAATACTTGAAACAGTCGGAGTACCTCGTGACCACTGTTCCCGCCCCCCTTCAAGTTAAAGGGAGCGTGATGCGAATTCCTCGGGAAGCAGGCTCTGACAGTACAGATGAAAGTTTCCCCTGCTCCCTCTCGTCCTCCATCTCGTCCCTTCTCTTGCACCCATTCTCCCCTCTCCCTCCCCATTTCTCCTCCCACCGTCCCTCGCTCCAAGCAGCTCGCCGCACTCGCCACCTCTACCCGCCTCATCCTCCAGAAGGCAACTATCGTATCTGCCATAGGGGAGGAGCTGCAACTCTGAAGTTCCGGACCACAATCAGTGACGAGGAAGAGATCATGTGAAGAGTCAGGGTGGCAATGTACGAGAAGCTACACCAGGTTGAGTGTAAGAGTATGATGATGCATGCTGGAATAATATTAGATGCATGTAGCTGTTGTATAGTATAAGTGCGAATAAATGAATGCTTATGGCACATGTTTTCCAGCACTTTCAAGGTAAAGGATGGGACAACGACAAAACTTCATAGGGCGTGGGCGACAAGCGCTGATTGTACCCATCAACATGCTCAAGCTGGACCTTCCAGTCTCATGCAAAGAGAGAACAGAGTAGGAGGGTTGCGATTAGTTTTGTTGGCCGCAAGTCAGAAGCAAAGTCAAGAGTCAGGGTGTCAGGAGAGGAAAGGGGTTACATCAAAGGCTGCAGCAAGCAGACAGGCAGGATCGTCGCAATGCGGACATCTCATGAGTAACTGCCCTCAGTATTGTATTGTCCTCTCGTCAGAAAGGTGCACTTGCAAACTCCGCTTGGAACAACAGCTGAATCTACGTGAATGGAGTGCCCCTGCCTGAGGGATTGTTCTGATCAGCGGCTCGCGGTGGCTCCTGCCCCTTTCAGTTTTTGTTCGAGGTGATGACGATGGCAGTGAGTGTAAACCTTGAAGCGGCAAACAAGTGATCGGTGCAAACAAATGATGGGACGATCTAAGTGAAGGTATCTCCTCGTACTGATTTTAACTTAACTTTGAGTAAACATAGCATGGTGTGTCCACTGGCGCATCCCACCAGGACTCTGTCGGGACTGCAGTCGCAATCGATTCAGTTTGGGGGGGAGCGTGTATCGAAAGCACGTCTTTTCCAAACACCACCGTTTGTTCCCTGTAGTAAAAAGCGATTGACTGGCATCCCAGAGCTCCGATCACGTGGGCTAATGGTTTTAACGAACCACTGCCCGCCCACCCTCCCTTCCACCCCTTTTCCCTGCGCACACCCTTTATCTTCCTCTGCACACACTACAATCTGCCTCCTTCGTCCTTGTGCTTGCCTCTTCCATCCATTCCCGCTTATAAGTTCCCCATGCCCTCATCCCCTTGGCGCTGAATCCAACTGTCCCTTCCTCGCTTCCCAAAGCCTGGGATAAAACTATCCCAGAGTCCACCTACATCCCCTCCATGCAGCTTCCTCCTTCTCCTCCTTCTGTGTACCTCCGTGACCCTATCCGCCCTAACTGCTCCTGCACCTCCATCCCGCCCCTCGCCCCTCTCCCTCCAACCGTCCCTCGCTCCAAGCAGCTCGCCGCACTCGCCGCCTCTACCCGCCTTATCCTGCAAAAGGCAACTATCGTATCTGCCATAGGGGAGGAGCTGCAACTCTGAAGATTTCAGTCTTACTGGGCCAGGACGGATCTCGAGTTTAGTCGATTGGGAGGAGGACGATCAGATCAATCTCTTTTAAGGATGTTTTGGTTCTCTGCATAAATAAAAGTGTGAGCAAACTTCAAAATGGCGGTGCCTCCAATACGAATGTAACTTGGAAAAGGACCTGCGAGCTTACGGAATCGTTTTCTGCTCACCACAGTCGCCTACGCAAGCTCACCCTCAGCTGAGGACGAGCTAACTAACCCAACTGAACTTCCGAAGTTCAGAAGCGCATGATAATCGGAGAAAGCATTACCAGCGTGATTGTATTTTGTAGTTGATTCATGCGGAGATGCTGAAAGTCGCTCAACATTATCGGAATCGATAGAGCCTGGCCCGGAGTCACTGACAGTGAGTACTAGCGCTGCCAGAGAGTACTATCAGTCCCTTTACTCACGGAATTCATCATCATCTGCAGGGCTGAATTCATGAATCAGGGGAATGATACCCACTTTGAAGCATTCACTATCAGCGGTGGCAGCGATCCAGGTATCAGCTAACTACAGTCTTGGTAGAGGTCCTTCAGGACTTTTGTCTCTTTCTTGCTGTCGTCCATCTGTAATTGCAAATAGGCGGCGAACGCGTGACAACAAGGTTTACCGTTTCTTTGCCAGAACGAGCATGGTCTACACCTTATCTTTGAAGTCTAACCAAGAATTCAGTTTATCGAGATGGAGAAGTTTGTTATCGGATGCTTCACCCAATGTCAACAGCTGATGGATGACAGGGAGTCAACATGACGTACGTGGACTGAAATGTTCACCTGCTTCGATGGGCAAGACCTTGCCAGTGGGGAGATAACCCTATATCATCATGGCCTTGCTCGAGAAGAAGCGACTGGAGAAGTGGCAATAATCCTACCCGAAACGTGAATACAGCGATAAACAATATCCACTCATCTTACTTGACCGAGTATACGCAATCCGCACTGTTTGATCAAATGTAAAATGGATCCGTTGGCAAAAAAGGCTCCCATGAAAACACCTTGATGCTTGCCTAATAGTGGAGGTGGCATGAATGATGCATACCTGTTTGGATTAGACTCACAATACTTGGTGGTCCACTGGGGTAAGATATTGAAAGAAGCCACATAGTCATCCCATGAACCATTTTCAACTTCAAGGCGAGCAATATAAATGTTATGATGCTAGTGCGTTTTTTGAACATCTTCTAAATGTCTTCGGCTGTCATCCGTCGATGAACACTGCCTCCAATGTCCCTCCTGGAGCCCTCGGCTGTAATATTACGGAAAGGTTTGGAATCAATAGATAACTTCCCACAGAAGAGCGCAGTGTGCTATGGTATAAGGTACTATCCTCCATATTGATGGTAAACTTATCCTTTTTGTCTTGCTTGCCCCTTTTTACGATAACTGTATACCTGAGAGAATGCAATGAGATATAAAACCTCATGAAAGCGACAATAATGATGCTCACGGGCATGTAGAACAGGAGCAGCGCATGACATACCCTGTCATGCCCTAAACATTTTGGCAAGGTGTATTCTTGATTGGCTTGTTGTAATCCTTCAGGTTGACATGTTTAAGGAATCTTGTACATTCACGTCGTTTGGAGAATTGCATTCCACGCAACGTCATGACATAGTCAGATGGAGTTTCCTTGTTGTCAGATTCTGAATTAGATGAGGAGGTACATTCGTCTCCACTAGTCCAGAAGCAGGAGGGCTCGCCCCCCATTGGTATGGTTTCGGAGTTGTGGCTTGAACTGTCATCTTCAGGCAAAGAACTGTCCGCACTGTGAGGAAGCAACGGATGTGAAGGGACAATCTCTGTGTGAGGAAGTGGAGATGATGACAATGAAGAGATCGGGGCATCGAAGATGAGGGTATAGAGTCGTTCAAAACTCTGGATCAATGACAATTGTTCAGGGGGGTTAATCCCGAAGCAACGAAATCCATGTTCAACAATGACAATGTACAATGTACGACACATTGGTAGGCAGTTCGAGCTCCAGCTGTTGTTGCACAGCACGGATCTTGGCACTCAGACTGAGCCTGACCTGTTTCGAGCCTTCCCCTGCCAGCATTCCCGCGCAGTTCAACGATCATCAGTAATGATTTACATTGTCTCCGTGTAACCGTAGCTGTCATAAATTCATGTCCGATGTAACGGAACGGCTTCCGACAGCGATGGACTCCGAGACGCGAGACGCGAGACGATGGAGAGAGAGGGAGAGGGAGAGAGAGAAGGAGATGGGCGGGGGGGGGGGGGAGGAGGGCCGGGGGTGGAGGAGGAGGAGTGGGAGGAGAGGAGAGGAGAGGAGAGGAGAGGAGAGGAGAGGAGAGGAGAGGAGAGGAGAGGAGAGGAGAGGAGAGGAGAGGAGAAGAGAGGAGAGGAGAAGAGGAGCTGACTCGGACACTGTAACAGGGCTTGCGCTGGACGGGACGGAGATCATGGGCATGACGCCGCTGGGAGCGGCAGCTCAGTCGAGGGCGCTTCAGATCGGGGATCTCATCGAGGAGGTGGATGGAGAGCGAGTCGACGATGACAACGTATTATTTTTCACCTTAAAGCAGCTACTGACACCCCAGCTGGCCCTTGAGCTGGAGCCTCACATGTCAACACCCCTGACGAAGTAGTACCGGCAGATCCTGGACCGCCTACGGGGCTGCGACGTCGTGGGGTCACCGATCATGCTCACTGTAGGACTAGAAGAGAAGGAGCAGGAGCAGGAGCAGGAGCAGGAGCAGGAGCAGGAGCAGGAGCAGGAGCAGGAGCAGGAGCAGGAGCAGGAGCAGGAGGAGGGAGATGAGTTAGAGGAGGACGAGCACGAGGTCGAAGACGAGGAGGAGGAGCGAGTAGGGGTGAAGGAGGAGGCAGGTGATACGCATGCGGCGGTACGTGACGATTGATGGGCAGGTGAGAAGGCCGATGGACATGACGGTCAGGTAAAGAGAAATTAGTCAAGTCCCGCGGGTTTATGCTGACAGCTGAGAAATTGGACAGAAGCGTCACGCTGGTCCGTCAGGCAGCGATCATGTGAAAGACTCAAGGTGGAGAGGCGGATGAACTTTCAGGGCAACAGGAGGAGGGAGAGAGCAGGAGCACGAGGAGAGGGAGGAGGTGAACGGGAGGAGGTCGAGGAGCGGGAGGAGAAGGAAGAGGGGGGAGGAAGAGGAGGGGAGAAGAATGAGGGGCGAGGAGACAGAGAAGGAGAACGCTCTTGAGAATTTCTCGGTGGTTCATTAAGAGTCGAGATACCAGCTGCCTCCTCTTCGCTCCTGCGTCAAGGAAGCGGCTCCATTCCTCTCCTCTCCTCACTTGCCCTTGGAGACGACCCACTCGGTGAGACCCTTCACGCCATAGCCCGTCGCTCCTCCCGCCTGCCACCAGAGCTGAGATCGAGTTCGGCTTCAGCTTGGGATGCGCTACCTTGTCATTCCAGACGGGGCCTGCGATGTCAAGGTGGGACCACTTGGCCTCCTGCAGGGGATCACAGGTCAGCTGACGGGCAGCTGGAGTCGGAGGCTTGTCACCTTGACAAACTCCTTGAGGAAGAGAGCAGCTGTGATCGACCCTCCACCCTGTGAAGACGTGAGGAGGAGGAAGAGGGGGGGGAGGGGGGAACGGTGGGGAGGGAGGGAGGGAGGACGGGCGGGGCCGGGCGGGCGGGCGGGGACGGAAGAAGGAAGGAGGGAGGAGGTAGGAGG